CTGTAAATCGTGAATAGTTGGTAATAAATAGTGAGTCCACATATAAAAATAAAACCAATTAAATACTTTCCTTATGCAGTACCGTTGTCATGGAAGAGTGGAAAATATTTTATCCCATATTTTGTTTTGAGATATTTTTTTACCTTACCAAACATGTAAAAGGTAATTTTTATCGTAAAAATATTTCCACACCAATCAAACATGCGCTTGGGAAAAAGTGTAGAGGGCCCGGCGGGCGATTGTAATGTATACCGGGCCTTCGCACGGGGTGGACAGACCAGCCGGCCAGGGATGCTAGTCGCCTATGCCTCTTTCTAAGTACTCCACGTAACGCACAAGACTTTCTCCTGACCCCGGCTGTTACACCGTTTCTATGCGGCCAGCCCGCATATTGTAAAAATACGGGCTTGTCAAATAATATAATTTTTAAATATAATTAGTCCTAATTTTTAAAAGATATATAATCGAGATATTAAACTTTAAAAAAATAAAAAATTAAGAATAATAAATATATTAAAAAAATATTTAAAGCCTTAGTTACCCTTGTTTTTAGATGCACGACCTATTTGCTTCATATGGATGCTTTATACCTTTAGACCGTACATTGTAGCAATGCGGTCCAGCCCGCATGAAACAGTTTTCTACCGAGGAATTTTCATCCAACGGAGATTCTGTGAAAACTAATAAAAGGATCTGAATGATCCACCGGTGACTGTAATAATGAGTGTATCTTTTTTTAACATTATTGGGGAGAGCAGAGGCGACTGACGATTGACTGTATTAGGAATGAACAGAAAGGGTTTGGAAATATTGATGCGTTCCAGAATCAGATCCGCTGCAGAAGCAGGGAAATTACCTGTGAGACAGTTTGATTAAGCAGCAACCTTTTCATTCATTTCTCTTTTATGATGTGATGCATATAAGCACTCACTCAAATAATTTTCTCCATGCGCCTACACATTCTGATGCTCGTGTTTTGTTATGTACTTTCACCCAACAATTTTTTCTTAATATCAATGAAATTGCATTTTCCAGAGGTGTTGCTTCTATTTGTGATTTGAAACTTTTGCCCCCCAAGATTAAATGACATTTTAGCAGAAATGGAGATTGGATTTGTATGTGAATTGATGATTACTTATTTATTTACTTTTTAAAAGTACTTTGGCTGCTCATGAAGTTTTCCTATCTCTTATTTCTCCAGTGATTGTGGAATTATTTGTCCATTAGTATGGTCTTTGCTTGGTAAGATTTGGTTTATGAATGGATGGTACTATGCAAATGAAATTAGCAGTAGCATGGGTGCTCTTGTTGAAATATTGGGTTCAGATCCTGATTCTGCATTCACTTTCATTTCATTCATTTTCTTTTAGCCTTTGTTTTTTACTAAATTCATTCCCAAAATCTGAAACCCTGAATAATTTTGAGATTACCTGAATTTGAGTAGGTGAATTTTCATTGGAAAGAGCTTGAGAAAAAACAGAGATCAGATCATTGTGAGCCATTTGGAATGGCAGGAGATGAGGATGCTGCTGCCTCTGAATGTTCCGAGAGGTCTGTGTTACTTTTGAGTCCTTTTGATTAATGGCCAAGCTTTACACAAATAGAACGATCCAATTGATGGAGAATAAAAAAAGAAGGCTACGCATGATGACTGGATTTATCTTCTTTGTTCCTAATCAGTAAGGCGAAGCGTGTAAGAGACTTCATGCATGAGGCAATCCACATGAAGAAAAAAGAGATTGTAGATGCGACACTTGGGGAGTTCTTGCAGGTAAGCTCGCGCATATAACCAATCATATTTGAAGTGGGATTGATGCAAACTTGTTGTGACTTTCTTGAAAACTACAGGGTTATATATCACTTGCTGGAGACAATCGACATGAATTACTTGTCACCCTTGCCAGAGATTATAGTGTGAATCGAAATCAAGTTCGGGAGCTGATTCAGCAATACCTAGGTCTTGAGATTTCTGAAGGTGGGTGCACTTATTTCTAATAATTTGGAGTAGGCAACGAGTTGCTTGCAGTCTTCTTTGTGGTTGAAGGTTGTTCTCTATTGTTGTTATTCATTTAGGCATGCTCGAGCACCAATCTGAAGTTGACGAGGGAGGCATCCTCTCTGCTGTGTATAGGACTGAGCGAAACTTGAGACAGGCCCTCAAGCCTTTGTATGAGATTCTATTTGAAAGACTCAACACATATCCTGGTGGATTGAAGTTTTTGTCCATTCTCCGAGCTGATCTTCTTAACCTAATTGAGTGAGCTTTCTTCCCTCTTTTTCCTTCGCTTTCTCTTTGTAACTCCTAATCATTTTATCGTTACAGCTGTATACATTTTATAGATTGAACAACCTCCCTTTTTTTAGAACAGAACCTAGATGGGAAGTTATATGTTTCTCTGTCAATTTCAATGTATAATTTTATTGCATATTTGGGTCTGGTGCATAATATGCGCTACCTAACCACACCACTCAGGATAACGGGAAATCAACTTCTTTGCCATTTGCCCCTCATCTTGGCCATACGTACTAGATGATGTCATCATATTTTGGTATACTTCTTATGGAAATGTTTGCATATTTTTCAAAGACTTAAATGGTAGAGTATACTGGTTCTTTAATAGGAAGTTGGTGAGCTTTTGGTTCTGAATCCCACCATCAGCTATTATTTTTTATTTTTTGATCCTTTTAACTTTGGAATGGTTAAAATAAGAATATTGAGCCCCACATGTTTAGAATCAAGAATATTTTGAAACACTGTGGTGAAGTCTACAACTGTGCAAGTGGCACGAAGATGAGCAAAATTTGCGAATAATTTTATGTAATTTGAAAAACAAAACATAACAATCCATTGGCAAGCTCAAACTTGGGCATCTTGTTACTGAAGAGCGGAATCTACAATCACCACTTGGGCAATGCCTTGAGAAATTATCTTAGATAAGACCTTATTATTTTATTTAATATAATATTATACAGACGTGTCTTCCCTTACTAGCTTTTTGTGCTAGAGTACTAGAGACTCTAGAGACATAGTTTCCATGACACTTGTGTCAGTAACACTTACGGTTGTTTTTGGGTCTATAAAGTTTTTTGTTTATCATCAATAGGAATATTTTCTCGAAAAGACAAAAAGAAATGAATCAGTAGGAATTTTTTTTGGTTTTTTTGTGATCCTAATTTGATTAGGAAGCAATTTCTGCTTATGTTTGCTTTATTTTGGTTACATTTGGACTAGGGAACTGGGAAACTATTGTCTAGCAAATTAGGGTCCATTATAAAGGTTTGCATTCTAATTAATGATATGGGAGTTTGAAACACCACACGTCCAAGGCTTACTTGATTACAACAACGAGTCCACTTGGACTCCTGCAAGTTACTCAGGCCTGACGGGGCGTTCAATCTAAAATCCTTCAAACTCAGGGGTATATAAGTAATATATAATTTTTTTTGATAGAAGTTAACTGTATATCATTAAGAAGAGTCAGTACATAGATTTTAAGACCAAGGGTCCCTAAGCAGTGGGACACCTCGGAATCTGTTGTCAGCCTACCCTATTCAAAAAATAAGAGTACAGCCCGCCCTAGATGATACAAGATATATAATGATTTTACAAAAAATAGGGTTATAAGTTTCCCCTTTGTACAAAAATAATGTGATAAAATACAAAAAGGATGTGGCCAGAAGCTGATGTTTCTTTATCCTTTTGTGTCTTTAGTGTTAGCTCTGGCCCCCTCCTTTGCAAGGAGGTCAGCCAAGTCGTTTGACATCCTCAAGGTATGCGTCCATGAGACGTCCATATCCCTGCAAATGTCAGCGATCTCATCAAAAAAGGAAGCAAGATACCAAGGAGGGGAGGAGCCCCCTGATACCCAAGAAATAATGTTTCTAGCATCCCCTTCCACAATAAGATTTTGCCCCCAAGACGAATTGAAGCTTTTCATACCCAAGAGAAGGGCCAATGCCTCAGCATGCTGAGAGTCTTGAATGCCCAGGTATTCGGAGTACGTGAATAGAATTGCCCTAGAGTGGTCCCTGAACACTCTGCTCGCTCCGACTTGACCTGGTTTTCGAGGGAGCACCCGTCGAAATTGAGTTTAATGGTGCCACGGGTGGGGGGTTGCCACGAATTGGTTCTTTGGGCCTTGCGAGGGCGGTGGAGCATAATATTTCCCCAGTTGTAGAGAAAAGAACTAGCAGGGAGGCCTGCAAAGATACGGTGATTAGAAGCCCAAGAAGTTATTAAGGATGTAACTTTATGGAGCAAGGCTGGACCTTCGGTAGCTATTCCTTGGAAAATCCTAGAGTTCCTCTCATTCCAGATTGTCCAAATAATAGTTGCCACTGTGACTTTCCAAATTGTTCTCCCTGCCTTAGGCCAGTGAAGGACGAGGTAAAGAGATAACAATTCCTTGACTGTCGCTGGCATGACCCATTGGACACCACATAGTTGCAATATTTGCCCCCAAAGACCGTAGGCCAAGTTGCAGTGGAGAAAGAGATGTGGGTTGTTTCTTCTTCGCAAAGACAAAGGACACATCTGTTGGGGATTGGAATGCCTCTTTTTGGAGCTGATCCACCGTAAAGGCCCTCTGAGATCCTGCTATCCAATTAAAGCACTTCACTTTTGGGGGTGCGATAGTGCTCCATACCTTTGATAACACCGAAGGAGGGTTGAGAGGGAAGGTGGGTGGTTGTAAAAGTCTTTTGTAAAGGGATGCCACTGTGAAAGTCCCGGACGGAGTGAGAGACGACACCAACCAAATCCTCCCATGGGTGGGTATGTAAGAGTTTTGGAGAGTAGAGGAAAGAGAAAGGAATTGTGATATTTCCTCGTGAGATTTCATTTAAAAGAAGGGTTCCTCTCCCTTCGGTTTCCACTACTGTCATTGCTTCGGCAACTGTAACTTCTTTGTTGGAGGTTATGGAATAAAGGGAAGGGTATAGTTCCTTAAAGGGAGTGTGACCAAACCAGGTATACGACCTAAAACACACTCTTGTACTCTCCCTTGAGTGAAAACGAATGAGAGTACTAAAGAGTGAGAGGGTTTAAGTAAAAGATTTCCACGCACCTGAGGCCCTGTTGTTGTTTCTCTTCTCTGGCACCCATGTTCCTTCAACAATCTTATATTTGTGGCGCAAGACTTGAACCCATAGGGAGTCAGGCTGGGTAGCTAGGTGCCACCACCATTTACCTAGGAGGGCCTGGTTATGTTTTCTAAGTATCTTGATACCTAAGCCCCCCTGCTGCTTTGGTAGGTAGACTTTATCCCAAGAGCTCAGGTGAAACTTGGAATGCTCTGCTTGGCCTGACCACAAAAAAGTCCTCATTAATTGTTCTAGCCGGTTTGTCACAGAGGTTGACATTTGGAAGAGTGACATAAGGTAGACCGGAGCATTGGCTAGAGTTGCTTTTTATTAGAGTGGTGCGGCCTGCTTGGGAGAGGTATCTGCCTTTCCAAACCGCCAGGCGCCGGTCTACCTTGTCAATAACATGTGCCCAGTGCCTGTTCTTGGGTTTGCCAAGACATAGGGGTAAATCGAGATACACAGTGGGGAGTTCATCTACTTTGCAATTCCAAGTCGGGATCAATTCCTTAATGTCAGTCGTTGAAATGTGGACCCCCATCATGGTTGATTTTCCATGTTAACTTTAAAGCCAGTGGCCTCTTGGAAGCACTCGAGATACAATCTCAAGTTTTCAACTTCATGTGGAGAGGAGTCTAGGAAGACTAGTGTGTCATCTACGTATTGCAGATGTGACACAGATGGCCCTCGACGGGAGGTTTGGAAGCCAGAGAGAAGACCAGCCTGGAAGAGGCGGGAGATGGACCTTCTAAAGACTTCAACTGTAATTGTGAAGAGGAAGGGGGAGAGGGTCCCCTTGGCGTAGCCCCCTTGAGGAAGGAAAGAACCATTGATAAGAATGGAAAAGAAAGGGTTAGAGAGATAACCTGTGATCCATTTCCCCCATCGGTCTTTAAAGCCCATTCTTCTCATGGTTTCATCCAGGAGGGACCAGTCTACGTGTTCGTAGGGTTTCTCCCAATCAATTTTGAAAATGAGCCTTGATTTTTTTGACAGAAACCTGGATTGAATGCACTCATGGGCTAGTAACGCTCCATCTAAGATTTGTCTGTCTTTAATGAAGGCTGATTGGGATTGAGAGATGATGGTAGGGAGGATTTGTTGTAGCCCTGAGGCCAAAACTTTGGCCAGGATTTTGTAGGAGTTCAACAGACTAATTGGGCAAAAGTCCTTGAGCTCCTCAGCCCCTTCCACCTTTGATACCAGAGCAATGAAAGTGGCATTGATAGCCTTATGTAGAATTCCCTGGTGGAAGAATTCTTCGAAGAAACTTAAGAAATCTGAGCGGAATGTCTCCCAGAATAATTTGAAGGGGCCTATGGGGAAACCATTAGAAACGGGGGCTTTGTCTCCCGATAACTCATGTATGGCTTTAAGAATTTCCGCTTTCAGGATTGGACACTCAAGCTCAGGGACTGTGCATCTGTTAAAGACAGGAAATCGAGGTCCGTCATTGTAGGTCTGTGAGAGACTGGGGCGGTATAGACGGCTTGGAAATAAGAAAGAAAAGCCTGTTCTATGTCTCCAGCTTTTAGCCATTTAACTCTAGATCTCTGGAACCAAAAAATTCCTCTTTTTTAGGGTGGAGAGGTAGTCCGATTTCAATTGGCTCCTAGAAAGGAATTCAGCTTCAGTTAGAGGTCTTGATTCCTCTGCCCTATCAATGGCTTGAATAGTTTCGAGGAGGGAAACCTTAGTGTGGCAGTAATTCCCAGGGATAGATTACTCCAAGTCTTCAAAGCAGCTTTAAGCCTTTGGATTTTTGTTTGGAGTCGAAAACCAGCCCTCCTCGAGACCTGAGTAGAGAAGGAATTCCACCAGACCGGAATGAGGGTAAGGAGGGACTTCTCTTCTAGCCATGCTAGTTCAAAACGAAAGGGTTTAGGGCCTCTACAGAGAGCTTGGGTATCAAGAAGAATAGGGCAATGGCAAGGCCAAAGCATGGGAGCCCGGGAAAGATTCCTCCCAATCTTCCGAGAAGAGGAATCTATCTAGTTTAGATAGAGAGGGTTGACAAGAACGGTTGGACCAGGTGAACTGACAACCTTGAAGAGGTATATCAAGAAGGTCATGCTGAGATATGAAGTCCGAAAAATCATTCATTCCCTGAGAAATGGAAGAGTTAGAATTTCTCTCAAAGGACCATCTGGTGATGTTGAAGTCACAACCTAGACA